AATGGGTGGATGACTGGATGTGTAAAGCGCTTTGGGGTCCTTACGGACTAGTAAAGCGCTATACAAATACAGGCCATTTAAGGATAGTATTTAATACCTGAAAGCAATCAGTTTTTATTACATTTCAAAAATGATCAAAATGAATGAATGGCTCCAACACCAGCCTAACATAGTTTAGATAGCTAAGAGAGTGGACTGCTGTATTTTCACAGACATTTCAGTTTGGTTTGTTAAGTGATCCTATATCAAAAAGGCATAAAACAAACGAACAAAAAAAGTTGCTCTGTGTGGGGGACATTTGGAAGGAATGACACGAGTAACTTGGCTCCCAGTAAAAGAAGATGCTTTTTTGTATTGGTAACATCCTCCTCTCATTCCAAATAATTGAGCACTGCTAGCAGCAACTCTTACAGCTCCTCCCATAATTTCGCACTCTGAAAAGGAAATTTCTACACATAGATATACAATAAGATCAGACACAAAGACACCTTTGTGACAGATTCTTAAAACCTTACACACAGCCTCTGTTATACACATAAAATCATACATTTTCAAAAGCCTGTTATCTACTTGTTTTCTTAATTGGAGAAATTGTGATATTTTTTTTAACAAATTTGTAAATTACTTAATATAATGTTTACAGAAATAGCCAGTGGTGGTTTTTTGATATGGGGACATGGGCCATTGCCCAGGGCGGCATCGTGGTGGGGGTGGCATCATGGCATCGGCAAAAAAAAAAAAAAGTTGCTCAAACCCATGCTGCCCTGACAACATGCCAGCGCATTTTGGGGATTTCATAGGCACCGAACGGTTTTCTATTGCCCATTTGCGAGGAGTAAGGGCGCCCTCCATTTACGAGGTGCACCTGCTGCTTTCTACACAAGGAGGAGAGGGAGGATTCTCTGGCTAGCTGGAGCACCTAATAACTAGCTCGTAACATAAAAAAACCCCAAAACAAACAAACAAACAAACAAACTAGGGCTATCAACGTTAACGCTGTCATTGTGATTAACGCTAGGACTCTGTTAACAAATTACCGCGGATCGCTCCATGCGTGGAGCTGCATGGCGTCAACGAGCTAACCGCGCTAACGCTAACGTTGATGCCATGCAGCCCCATAGCCCCATGCATGGGTCTGCACGGCCTAAAATCCTTTAATTTTCTCAAAAATCGACAGTGTGCCTTATGTATGAATTCTGGTTGTGCTTACTGACCACGAACCGATTTTATGTGGTACACGGCGCTCAGCAATCTGTTAAAAATGTTTTAGTACGACTTTGGTAAGCTACGAAGCTGCACCACTTGATGGATTATCGGCGCATTATGGCTACTGTAGTCTGGAGCCTCACGGAGTAATATGTACTGTGCTTCAACATAATATTACCGTACTGTGTAATACGGTAATATTACGTTGAACAAATGGCACCTGTTAAGAGACATGGTTACGAAGTGAACTCCAGGCTGTCAGTCACGCAGTAGAACTTGGGAACAGAGCAGCTGCGAAATCTGTCTTTGTTATTATGCTCATCATCTTTTAGTTTACATGCTGACTGCACAATTGTGAGCTTTTTGTTATGCACAAAAACAACATTGTTTTCTTTTATTTATGGAGCATTATTATTAAATGCTGATAATTTATTTCTAAATTATGTACATCTGTACATCTGTGCTGTATGTTAATAAAAGTGCCCGTGTGAGATATGGGACACAGCTTTGACTAAGAACTCTCTTTTTGTTCTTACTTTATGGCTTAAAAAAATATCGAGATATATATCACATTTCGCCATCCAGCTAAAGAATGTCGAGATATGAATTTTGGGCCATATCGGCCAGCCCTAATTAACGCAATTAAAACATTTTTAATGCAATTAATCCATCTGGAGCACAGAATGACTCAAAATCCCTGAAATGTCTCTGTCAACACATTATGGGCAGTTTGTCCAAAGTTTGTCCATTCAGCGTTAATCGCGTTAATCATGATGACGGAATTAATGCGTTGACATTGACAGCCCTACAACAAACACAAAAACAGAAGACATTATGATATAGACTTAAGATTTGCACCAATGTGTTTTCTAAATTCTATCACACTCATATATGCAAAAAGAGAACGCGAGGGCCCTCGGTGCGCCTGCTTGTTGCTGCTGCTCACACACAACCTGTTGAAAGGTGAAGGGGCGTGCTACTTCCAAATAGTGCACATTTAAATCATAATGTTGTCAATCCAAGCCCATTATGTATTAATTATTTTACCTGGGTTATGTGAAATCCCAGAATAAAACAGGGAGTGTTCGCCCAGGGCACCAAACAGGCTAGGACCACCCCTGGAAGTAGCTGTTGTTGAGAAAGCATTGGGGATCTCTGCTTGGCCATAGGTAGCACTCACACTATATAAATTCCATGCCCAAATCTCAACTAACTGTGCCAAGGCCCAAATCTGTAAGAATACCAAGGCATGGTTTAATTATTAGTTTGTTATTATTAGGTCGTGGTTTCCGGGAGCCGCTGGCACCTTTGGCCTCACTGCCAGGTGATGGAATGTCCAAACCCAGACACACACGTATATGGTGATGGTGAAGAGGGAGAACAGTCCATGCAGCTGGGGTGCTCACGACTCACACCTGCAGAACACCAATGCCGCCTGACCTCTGGTGAGTGCCTTTACTGTGGCCATAAGGGCTGCTTCATCTCAACCTATCCATCTTGATTAAAAGGGCGCTCCCATCGATGGTGAAGAGAGTACTGGTGGGCGACCTGTCTAGCAAAAGCTCTCTTACATACTTCCAGGTCAGCACTGGTTCCAACAGCACAACCCTCATATTGACTAGTAAAGGGCTGGGGTCACATAAACTGCCTCCGGGCTGCCACCCCTCAACCTGTGCCATCAGAACCTCTCGATTTAACGTCTGTTCCACTGGTGTACCATGATCTTGCTGAAGTGTTTTGTAAAGATCAAGCACTGTCATTACCTATGATTGTGCCATAGATCTCCATGGTGCTTCACTCCCCACTAGCTGCCTCTATAGTCTC